GAATCTAGAATAAACTATAAAAGAATCAGGCCGACAGGTTGGGATTAAGAAAAAATAATATAACAAGCATTGGAATGGGGGAATTGCCAATTCAGTCACATGAATCAAATGACACCTAAGTACATGGGCTAGCAAATCTGTGAGATAAAAAGAATAGAAGAGAAGGAAAATTACTGTCTGGTATCAACAAATAACTAAGAACAGGGGTGAGAGTAAATAAAGTACATCTTTAAGAAAATTAGAACAAATAAGCAGCATTGAAAGAAAACTAAATAAATAAATGCACAATATCAAATGATCAAATTAGTACCCTGGATGAGTGTCTAGATGCAGTCTGTGTAGGACTCATTTGTGGATTTTGCTTCAGTGAACTATTTTCTTCACTCAACCTTCCAATTTGATCCTGTAAAATGAAAATTTATTAGTTTTGAAAAGCGAGAAACTACTCTTAGATCAACGGAAGAGAACATTAATGCCACAATGAAATGAAGAACATAAGTTCAAAAGAGAATACTATGCATTAAGAAAATGATTCTTTGGAGGATCAAGATAATTTGTAGTTCAGACTGATGGTTACCTCTTTCTCCTTTAACAATGCAGCATAGTTAACAGACAATGCTTTAATTTCAGCTTCAGATTCTTTCAATCTATTGATTTCTGCTTTGTATTTTTCAATCTACAACATAAGTCAAAGGAAAGAATGTTTTATTAATTTGCCAATAATGAGTACATATGCAAGATTGCAAGGATAGACTAATAACAAATAGCTTAATATAAATTTTGTGTATTGGTCATAAAGATTAACTGCAGCCACCTCCAGGCAGATTAATAATATATTATTGACCCCTTATCCTCACCCCCAAACAACAGAGAAAGTTCATGTACAATGCAGCTCTACAAAGTACTAAATGAGAAAATTAGCATATTAATCACATGAACCACAGCATAAAAAGCAGCAACTTTCTCCAGCCTAATTGAATTATCAATAGCAGATTTCACCTAAAATAACAAATACGTGCGGGCACATTATTAAAAGTAAACTGATTCTCAATCGTGCTGAATAATAATGAATTAGCTCAATGCACTGATAAAGGGCTCTAACAGATGACTAGAAACCCAACTCTCCAACTAATTTGTAGATCACGTCACAAGAGTGCAATGAAACCACCTAAATAAATAAAAAGAAACAAGCTTGGAACGCCCTAAATCCCGATTGCATCGATATCCATATTAATAGTTAAAAAGAACCTCGAGCTCAGATTTCACAGAGAGATAGAGTGAGCTTAGTACTTCAGACTTGTGAGCGGAATCGAGGCCATTCGCAATCGGAGAATGATGATTATGTTGTGCCGGCGATTTGGAAGTGGAGAAATTCCGAGAAATCCTTCGATTGGCGGGTGAAAGTACTGAATTGTGGACTGAATCACCTGAATTGCTGGAAACTGAAAGCTGGGGATCGTCATCATCATCGTCCTCGTGTATCTCAAGCGCGATTCTATTCAAATTCTCCTTGAAAGTTTCGATTGAGCTCCACATCATTCCACTGCTCTCGAAAAACAGTTAACCTTCAACGCAGCTTCCCCGAAAAAAGCATAGAATTAGCGAGAGAATGTGAAGACAAACAAGACGCAAAGAAGACAGTGAGATTTGAAGAGAAGTAATGGTTTTGTGGCAAATTGAATTGAATGGTAGATCTGGGGAAGGAAATATTGCGGGGGTTTTCATAAATAAGCAGAATTACTGCGCGTAGATGATGGAGTTATTCAAAGAATGTGACGTACAATGCAATTAATTATGGTGTGACTTGATTTGTAAGTGGTAAATGGAGTTTTGAATTGGGCTCCTCATATGGAGGCCCCAAGTAGTAACTATTATGTACTAGTACTGGTAAATAGTAATCCATAACAAAAGGATTCATCTTCTTCAAGATAACTACAAATATTGGCAGGATAATTATACGATGGAATTAATTAAAATTGATCCGAATTAATTGATGTTTGTAAAGTAAAATTAACAAAAGGATGCATCTTCTTTTAAGTAAAGAGATAAGGACAAATACTAGAAAGAAAAATGACAAAAATGTTTGTAAAGTATTGTTGTATTGTGATGGTCTTAAATTGACTTGGGATAGAGGTTTTATTAAAGTTATCCTATAAATTAATGTCAATAAGGTTGTTGATTCGCTAAACAACCAAAATACTCATGACAAGCTTTGCTGCTATGCGGCTAATATTTTGTGTGAATGTCGTCGGTTGATTTTGAAGCCTTTTTAAGTTCGGATTGGTCTCGTCTTCAGTAAACATAATTGAGTGATTGACTATTTGGCTAAACGGACCTTAGATCGACCTCATTTATTTGGTTTTTTATTAGTTTTTGCAGGTACATGTAGGAAAGAGATGGAAGAGATAAGAGAGAAAAGAAAGGGAAACGAAATTCTGACAACAGAAGTACAAATAAAGAAATAAAGCCATTTACGGGCCCGCATTTGGTGCACGGGCTTGATTTGCGCAGTGCCTCTCCCCCTTCTCCCCACTAAATGGACCCCATGAAAAAAAATCATGTTTTCTATTTGTTTACAAATCAATCCATGAGTTTTTTTCATGGCAAAGCCCTTACAAAAAGCACAAATGTGATTGCGATGAGAATTCAAAATCAATTACAGTTACAGAAGATGAGATTACAAGAGTGTATATTACCTCTAAACACTACTATTTAATAGGATACAACCTCAGACTAATTATAGCACCACACACTAACTAACTATAGGTTATACAAATAATAACATCAATAATAATAATACTCACAATTGCTCTTAGAACATGCTTGAGGGGTGAAGGTGCTCAATCAGCCAGCGAATGAGACTATTGGGACGTTAATATAAGATTTCCTTGGGGTCTTTCGGGGTCGTATTCTTCATATAATGTTAAAATGAAGTGTGTCCCAATATCAAACATATAGATTCAAGTACTGCTAATCCAACACATGAAAAAATCGACGACTCATGATTGTCCTTTAACCATTCCCGTACTAACTTTCATATGAATATATTGAAGGATATTATATTATTTTTTTAATTTTTGATGTATTAACTGTTTAAAAGTTTCATCAAAATGTTTGTTAAGGTTTATATAATTTTAATTTGTACAAAATCATTGAAAAGTTAAAAGTACATTACTCTTCTTCTTCATTTTTTGATAGTCTCGCTCGTAATTTAATCATACAATATGATTCTTATATTTGAACTAAACATTAGAATATTAAGATTTCATTCATTTTTTGATAGTCTCGCTCGTAATTTAATTATACGGTATGATTCTTATATTTGAATTAAACATTAGAATATTATGATTCCATTTTTATAAAGGTGGGTGTGGAATATATTGAAAATTAGAGGATTAGTTTGTAAAGTAAAATAGTCAAAAGGAGTGTATTGAAAATTGAAACAGACCTAGGCCCTATAAAATGCAATGTGAGGTAAACAGTGGCCATCTCAGTCTCAGCATATAAACCCTAATGTTACAAGGCTATAGCCGTCGTCCTTCTCCTCATATATCATCTCCTTCGTCTGTATATTTTCATGGCGTATTAGATTTGTTATTAGGATATTGATGAAAAGAGATGCAATGACGAGGTTTAATGAAAAATCATTTGATTGCGTTTCGCAAAATGAACTTTACATCTATGGTTCGTATTCACCGAGCATCTCTCTTTGTCTCTCTCTGTGTCGGATTTTATTTTTCAGTGCTGATTTTAAAGTAGTGTGATAAACGAAGGACCTATGGACGGAACGCTACCTTAAATGCGTTATCGTCCAAGTTTGCCTTCGGAAATTGATTCCAGAATGTAGATCGCCGGTCGGATTGTTGTCCGATTTGGTTCATTTTCGTCCTAAGATCTAAAATTCTGACACTTTGTTGAAACAAAACTGTATTGGGGCCAAGGTCCCAGCGGAGAGGGTAATATACTGGAACGATGCCTCTCTAACATATAGAATCAATGCCTTCGCAGATTAAATGTCTGCCGAATCGTAGGATGCCTGAATATCTTGTCATTTTTTTGTGCATTCGGAACCCTCGGCCAAATTTTTCTGATATTGAATCTTTGATATGATAATAACTTTTGACAGTAAAAATAGAGAAATTTTAGCAAAGACAGTAATTTCTACTATTAATAAAGAAAAATCTATTGATAAGATTTTAAAATTGCATTGGGTTTTAAGGTCAGGTTAAGAAAAGACTATAATTTCTATAAAATTTCAATCAATATTGTTGGTAAGGATTGCATTTTATGCATACCTGAACTGCAGTGCAGACATGGAGACATAGAATGGAAGTCTGATTTCTAGAGTTTCGACAATCTGTACAAATGTTAATGTTCTTTACAATATGCCTAATACGTGCTATGGACATACCTACACCCTTCATTATATGAATACAAAAACACAGATAAGACTTCTATTGTTCATCAAAAAAGTTCTGCATTTCGTTGGTTAAGGAAAAAGACTAATTAGGAATTGGAAGGGAAGCGGAGACAAATAGGATGTGGAATTGGTTTGGTCCCCCAAGTTATGTTGGGATACGATAAAACACCAGCCTGAAATGATGGCAACTGTGATTTTGTGGTGCTTCTTAACGATAACAACATGAAAGAATGACAAAATTGAAATTGCATGGCAACAAAAAGCATGAATTGGACTGTCTCCTGACAAATGTCATTCATGGACCCCATTGTCTCTATCGAACTAAGAAAACCAATAAGCAGTTTCCCGACTAAGGTTTACCTTTATCAACCATTCTTGTTGAAGGATTGGCTTGCATTCACAACACAGAAGACATACAAAATCAATCAAGAAAGTGGTTTGATGCTATGTGTATGAAGAAAACTTCGGACCAATGTTAAAAAAATCTCCAGCTTATAAATATATATAAATGAAATGGTCAAAAGAATCTGAAGCCTTGAGGTTAGAGTGGGGGAGGGTAAGGCAGTGGCTGCAGAAGATAGAAGATAAGCATTTGCATTGTGCAGTGCTGCACATCACTCGTTTTTGTGTGAAAATGTACAAATTGGTTAGCAGCTGTCAATGGCTATTTTCTTTCTTTGTCTGGAGGACAAAATTTACATGGACATCAAAGAAGAAGGCTGAATCAATTATTAATTGTTACAAGCATTATGTTCAGCTCTTTGCAATATCTGCAAATTCTTCTGGTAAAAATGTACAATTCTCATTTCATTTCCCTATTAAAAGGAGAAAAAAAAAAGATGAAAGTTTGTGGTTTTTGGAGTGGAAATGTGTTAAGAACTGATGCTGTCTAGCATACCAAATGATCGTTTACAGTGAAGAATTGCTTCAGTAACTAAGCATTCCATGTCATGCTTATCATCTGTTGAATGGTATGGACTTTGCAAGGGGGATGCTTGTGGTGTATTGCTCCAGCTTCTAGTCTTTCTTATGTTCTTCTTTTTGTTGCCTGTTTGCTTTTCTCCAGCTCTGTCAACAGCAGAATAAGCCTTGGTAAACCGCGGTACAGAGGCTTGGCATCCAACTTTAGCAGTGTTTCTTTGCATCCCTATCCTCTTGAACAATGGCTTCAAATATCTCAGCCATTTCTGCAACATTCTGCTTGGTAATCCCCTCCATTTCTCAATGAAATCCTTCTGGACTTGAGAAATTACGGTTGTGGGAGTAAGGTCAGATTCTGGTGCTGTGATTGAGTCACTCAGCGATTCTTTTTTAGCTTCATTATTTGATCTGTTGATATACAAGGGAATGATCTGACCTTCTGAGAAAAGTTCATCAGCATGGACCATAGAGAGAGGAGACTCAGAACTAGCTGCAGGAAGATCAAAGTTGAAATTCTGTGATTCTTCATTGAGCAATCTCTTCTGATGAACTATAAACGTTGTTATTTCTAAGGCGCCAGCTTCATCTATAGATGTTCTTGGGGATTCTGAATCTGCAAGGCCATCGAGTGGCGGGTTTCCATTGAACAACCAGCTGTATGAAAAGCTTTCTGTGGCTAGAGGCTGCAAGTTTTCCATGGTCAATAATGAGGAGGAAAAGAAGTGTCTAACACTGTTTAAATACTAGCTAGGGATTGGGCAGACCTCACATTACAATCTTGGATTGACCCGACATTTTTGGATGGATTCTAAGACATTAATATCTGTCTGGTCTGTAGAATGCTGTCTGTTATATCAATCTGCACAAATGCTCATGTTGTTTGTGCAATTGTGCTGTGGTCATTAAAATATTCATGACAGAAGCCTAGTTCATGCTGTGGATATCCCACACCTTTTCTTATATGAATACAAAAATACAGATAGACTTTGAAAATGATATAAGCAGTGAGGAAAGAATAATGTTAAAACTTTCAACCTTTGGTTGTTACACAGAATTGTATGTATGCTTAGGCCAAAATTTGGCTGATTTGGTAAAAAGAAGACAGGGGTCCCTGGGCGGTAGGGGGAATAGGGGAATAAGAAAACATATTTGGTAGACCATGAATAGGACATGAGATGTTTTTTATAGTTTGTGTACCCAGAAATTAGCTGCTGATGTCATGGAACATGAAACAGGGAGTCACATTTCTGAACAAAATAATCCAATTATTACTGCTTAAAATAATTTGATTTACTTTCTGAACAAAAGAATTTCTTGTTGATGTATGAAAGATCTGACTTTTTGAAGCTGAATGATAAGGTGTTATTCATCCCAAGAAGAGGCATGCAGCATACATGCATGCTTCTTTCTGCTGTGCTGATTCTACACTAACACTAGTTAAGATGATGCTGCTACTGATAACCCAATTGTAGAAAAGGGGTAAGTTTGGCATCTTGGGCCTGTTGAGATATGTATGGACAAACAGGACAAAAGAAAAGTATACCATGAGAAATTTGGGTATCATAAAAGGACAAGAAAAATTATGTTTTGTAGCTATGGAGTTGACTGCTGTAGTATCATCATGTTCCTTGACAATAACTGAGAGACCCTGTAAGTATATTCAGTGCTATAATCTGAATTTCTGGTCATACAAGCTCTAATCTGCGTGGCTGCCAAGCTAAGCTATGCCTAAGCATAATTACAAGTTAGCAGTTGTGCAAAACAACAGATTTTCCTCCTATAAAATCCGCCCTTTTCTAGCATGTTTTGGCATTAATTACCATCCAGCTTTGATCTCTGATCTTATTAGTTTCAAACTCAAGAATGGCTTCGGGTTCTGCAAGAAACTCCTCACTGCTCTGCATGGCTATGCTAATCATGTCTGTTGGTTGTGATGCAGGTGGAATAGCCATCTACTGGGGACAAAATGGGAACGAAGGCACGCTTGAGGAAACCTGCGCCACAGGGAACTACGACTTTGTGATTTTAGCTTTCTTGGCAACATTTGGGAATGGGCAGAAGCCGACCATAAACCTGGCCGGCCATTGCGATCCATCGACGAATGAGTGTACCAAGTTGTCCCCGGAAATCAAATCCTGCCAGGCAAAAGGAGTCAAAGTCCTGCTGTCCCTAGGCGGCGCTGCCGGGAGTTACTATCTTGCCTCCGCAGATGATGCTAGACAAGTTGCCACTTATCTGTGGAACAGTTTCTTGGGAGGACAATCCAGTGATCGTCCTCTTGGCAAAGCAGTTCTCGACGGAATCGACTTTGATATCGAAGGAGGAACTAACCAATACTGGGATGTGCTGGCCAAATACCTTTCTGGGTACAGCAAGAAAGGGAAGAAAGTTTACTTGAGTGCAGCCCCGCAGTGCCCTTTCCCTGACGCTTGGATTGGGAATGCGTTGAAGACCGGCGTTTTCGACTACGTTTGGGTTCAGTTCTACAACAATCCGCCATGCCAGTACGCTTCGGGCGACATTGCGAACCTTGAAGATGCCTGGAAACAGTGGACTTCCGACATTCCGGCGGACAAGATTTTCCTAGGATTGCCTGCAGCTCCTGATGCAGCCGGAAGTGGTTTCATTCCGGCTGGAGATTTGACCTCCAAAGTTCTCCCTGCAATCAAAGGATCTGGCAAGTATGGTGGTGTTATGCTGTGGTCTAAGTATTATGATGACGAAACTCATTACAGTTCTTCTATCAAGACTCATGTCTGAACATTCAATTCTCAGCTAGCTGCCTGCTTTTGCTTCTACGTATTGCTATTAATTTCAACTTATACCCATGTTTCCATCTGCGTTCTAAATCTTGTATCCATGTTATATGTGAATATATTTTTAAAAGAATTATTGTGAGATATATTATATATAAGTCTATCTAGCATTTTACATAACGTAAACGCTTGCTTGGATCTGACTCTATAGGCACTTTCGAGTGCATAGAGGACACGTGACATACCTCACTAGACGAGAGACTTTTGGCTCTCTCTCTCTCTGTATAATATTTATGTGCTCAGGAGCCTCCGCTTCCGCTTTATTTGAAACGAATACGTATATCCGGTGAAATTTATCACATCAATACCATTCTTCATCGTTGTAGTAGAACTAATGTCATTCATCTGCATGTACTTCCTATCACTTTTACTATCTTACGTGTACCATTTTTCATCCTTGTAGTAAAACTAATGTCATTCATCTGACAATGAATAGTTAGTTATATTCATTCTGTGGTTCCAAAAAAAATGTCATCATCAACATTTTAGTGAGAGTGAGTAAAAATTAGGAGTAAAATAATATTTTCTTTCTTCAAAACTTAAATAAATTTAGGAAAATATTATTCTACTTACTTTTTTTTGATAACATATTCTACTTACTTTTTCATGCAATTATTTAAGATGTTTTTCCCTGGCGTTTTTGGGTGTCCCCTTCAAGCCTCAACGTTAATAAAGATGGCCCCTCCAAAGTTATAAACGCTGGTCGGCCACAAGTCACAGCATTATTAAAGGTTAAGGCGGCAACGGCATCTCAACGCCAGACGAGAGGCAGAAATCGACGCATTGCTGTATTCTGATTCTTTCTTTTCGCCTCTCTGCATTCTGCAGAAGATTACGTCTCATAGGGCATCTGTTTGCAACTTTGTATGAGGGCCGTTGCGGACGGGGAAAACTACATGGGTAGTCTGCGTGCGAAAATCACCATTCAGGATTCCACTTCCATCACTTGCTCTGCTTTCTGCTGTTTCCTCACTTCAGGTTTGCTCTTCTACAATCCTGTATTTTGATGTTCGAGCTTCAGTATTCTTAACTAGGTTGCTAATTTGGGGATCTATTCCTCATAGAATGCATCGCCTTTCATCTCTGGAACGGAGCTGACAGAAATTTTCTAGCTAAGTTTTTAGGGTTTATACAACAAATTTGCAGCTCACAAACTCGAGATGCCATTAAAACAAAATTGTTAAGTCGTGTTGTTTTGTTCAGATATTGGCCTTGCATAGTTAGCTTATAGTTAATTTTTGCTTATTTGACCATTTAACTTAGTTAAACAATCAATGAATTTTTAATTAATTAGCTGTTTGATTGTTCCAAAATGCTAGAATTCAAAAAATTGTTCAATGCAGTTTTTTCGATTGACTTTTTGAGAAAGTTATTTTGCATCTAATCGGCTATCAGCTAACATCTAATTTACCAAATTATTTTCTACAAAATGCTATCAACTATCAAATCCACTAACACAATACACCCCATTGTCTTTAGCTTCATAATGTGAATCTGTGGGGGGAAATCTTCTTACTAGTTGCTTCATTTATCTGCATTTTGATTTGTCATCTCCTGTATTATGATCTATGGCCAACGCTTTTGACTTTTTATTTATTTATTTATCATAAGGAGGGCCTGGGAGTCACCCAAAAATCAGACATCTTTGATTTGAAAATTTAGAAGATATTTTCTGCTTTGTTTCTTATTTGTTATTTTATTTCTCAAATATTCCATATTTGCTGCAGCTCTTGAGTAGACAGACCTAAGGGGAGTGTTGAGTCATGCACTGGTAAGATTAGCTGTGTTGCATTTAGGTATAGGTAAATGATGAAATATACTTTACAGACTTAGGTATTGGGTACAGGTGTGTGTGAACCTCTAAAAACTACTGTTGTACAAACTTTAGCTAATTGGCTAATAACTGAATCAAATTGCATTAGTAAATCTTGCCTTGCATTTATTTTCTTTGGAGTTAGGGTTCTGAATCGTCAAGGAATATTTGAAATTTGGAATGTGATTAATCTTTTAACATTCTTTATTTTTCCAACTTAAATGAAAGATTTTACCTTGATCAAATACACTCCATGTATGCAGTAGTTAACTGACGTGGAGTAACAAGTGAATATTGGGACTAACTTCTGGGGAATAGATTAAGAATTATTGTCGTTTGCTTAATAAATATACAGGATAGGATGGTTTAGAAGAACAACAAAATGTGTACAGGTTAAAAGTGTTAGAGAACGCAGATCATAACGGTTAGAAATGAACTTGGGTAATTCAAGGGCTGTTATTCATTTAGCTTTCTTTTCTCCAAGCTGTGACTGTGAGCAGTGAGCTAAAGAAAGAATCTTCTGTCTTCAAGTTCCCAGCAGTGTTTCATCTTCACAGTTAGCTTTATAGGAACCTCCAACTTAATTTCCTTTCTCAGCATATCTACTACATCTATATTGGAGTTTTTGGTAGATTTGCATCTGAAAGTGCTTCAAATTGTTGGTTGAAGGAATGTTCCTCCTCCATCATGAAACACATACAGCACCCACCAATTGGGGCCTCTTGGCTGCAAAAAAGAATCTTTTTAAGTTTCCCACCTTTTTTTCACAGCTTTAAGCACGCTAGTCCAATTGTAAAGATATCAAATTGGTTTTTGTGGTTTTTCTTTGCTTAATAAGTAGTTGTCTAGTTGATGCTGACTGGAACAGTTTTCTAAATAGTGCATGTCTGTCTGTCTGCTGTCTGACTTTTTTTTTTCCTTGAAACTTAAGTGTTAAGTTTATAGATTTATTTTTTTTTTTGAAGAAAAAAAAAGTTTATAGATTTATAAGTTGCACATGTGTGTCCATGTATTGGTTCCAGCTGTAAGCACTCAACACAACTGGCAGTAGTCTGGCACTGACAGGCAGGAAGATAACACAATTGTTTCATGAGTTCTATACTCCCAAATCATACTAAATTTTACTCCCGATGTTATAGATGACTATTTTTTTTCAAGTGTCTATATCAAGATTTTGTGTGTATAAGTAAAAGTTGAGAGTAAAAAATGGGACTGCATATAATCTTTTCTTGTTTCTTGTTTACCCCTTCCATTCCATTGACATAGTCTTGTCTTTGAGGATTTTCTGTGTTTTAAAGATATTTTCCGTTTTCAAAAAAAAGAAGAAGATATTTTCCAAAAAATAAAAGAAGATATTTTCCAGTCTTCAAGATTTGTCACCATGTCTATGCAACTTGGTCTCAAAATTGTTACTTAGTGTGTTGAGTTGTTGACCCAGACACCGCAATGGTCATCGCACGTTTAAAAAGACTTTGACTCAATCAATTTTCTTCCAAACTTGTTAGAACATGATCTTTATTTTATTTTCAACCCCAAATATCTGTAATAACTAATAATAAAATAAAAAACACGCATCTAATTTTGATGGCATCTTTATATAATAATTGCAATTGCAATTGCAATTGCAATTGCAATTTTTATTTTCAATTTTGTCGGTGATTAATTACTCTAATTTCTCACATTGTATGTTAAATTAATCGGGCAAACCCGAATTTCGAGAAGCTAAAGTCAAAGATGCTGAAAATATAATCCAAGTGTGAAAGTATGAAGACGAGATTTGTGACATTGTTAAAAAATAAAATATTTTATCGGTAAACCTAAAATGGAATGGATTTTTTTTTTTTGGGAACCAAAATGGAATGGAATTTATTGCTTCATTAACGTAGGCTAGTAACTACCATTGGGTATTATATTTATATATATATATATATATATGTCTTGGGTTGCAATATTAGAAATGTCAGTAATTATAAGTTTTATAAGGAGCAAAAACTGGGCCATAGATTTTTGGGACAAACTAATCGTGCACACATGATCCATGGCCAATTATAACAAAGTAACAACATTAAACAACACTTAAACGTAACCAACCAACCGACCATACCATTGTACGATGGGACCGACCCCAGCAGAGTCCACCGCTGCAAGAACAACTCCCGATTTAAACGTTCCCTCCCCGCATAACTCTCTGTGAACACCATTCTTCAAACCTAAAACTGAAACGTTTGAAAATCGAAGAGAAGGGGTGAAGGAAGAGTTTGTAGGAGAGAAATCAGCTGGTAATCAATCTGAACACCCTTCACTTGTAAGGGTGTTTTAGATTCTCACCCCCTCCCTCCCTCCCTCGGTTCCTCCTATCGTTGTTTAGATAGATCCGACAAAACATTGAATCTTGATCTTGTTTCTCAGATCTTGTTTCTTCCGTCTGTTGCGAAGGTTGATTCGGTGTTGTTGTTGGTGGTGGTGGTCGACAATGGTGGACGACACGGAGAAGAAGTACATTTCGTCGGAGGAGTTGAAGAAGCACAGCAGCAGAGAAGATCTGTGGATTTCTATCCAGGGGAAGGTGTACGATGTGACGGAATGGATTAAGGAACACCCTGGCGGAGATATTCCAATCCTCAGTCTTGCTGGCCAGGATTGTACCGATGCCTTCATTGCATTTCATCCCGGAGCTGCCTGGAAATATCTTGACAGATTCTTTACAGGCTACTATCTCAATGACTACGAGGTTTCCGAGATGTCCAAGGATTACAGAAGGCTTTGTTCTGAGCTTTCCAAAGCTGGGGTGTTTGAGAAGAAAGGCCATGGGGTAATTTACTCTTTCACCTTTATTACATCCTTGCTTTTGGCCTGTTTTTATGGCGTGCTCTGTTTTGAGAGTTTTTTGGTTCACATCGTGTCTGGTGGGCTATTGGGGCTTGCTTGGATGCAAATATCCTACCTTGGTCATGATGCCGGCCATTATAACATCATGGCCACCCGCGGATGTAATAAATTTGCACAAATTCTCACCGGAAATTGCCTCACCGGAATCAGCATTGCCTGGTGGAAATGGACTCACAATGCCCACCATGTAGCCTGCAACAGCCTGGACCACGACCCTGATCTGCAACACCTCCCGGTTTTTGCAGTCTCCTCCAGGCTCTTTCAATCACTGAATTCCTACTTCTATGGGAGAAAGCTAACATTTGACCCTCTGGCTAGATTCTTTGTAAGCTATCAGCATTTCACATTCTACCCGGTTATGTGTGTGGCAAGGGTGAATCTTTATCTGCAGACACTCCTGTTGCTGTTCTCAAAGAGAAAAATACCTGATAGAGCTTTGAACATACTAGGAATCCTTGTTTTCTGGACCTGGTTTCCTCTTCTGGTTTCCTGCCTGCCAAACTGGACTGAGAGGGTAGTGTTTGTGATGACGAGCTTTTGTGTATGCTCAATCCAACATGTTCAGTTCTGTCTGAACCATTTCGCGGCCAACGTGTATGTTGGACGTCCAGAGGGGAACGATTGGTTCGAAAAGCAGACGAGTGGGACAATCGACATCTCTTGCACCCAATGGATGGATTGGTTCTTTGGGGGACTGCAGTTTCAGCTAGAACACCATCTGTTTCCTAGGCTGCCTAGGTGCCAGTTAAGGAAGATCTCTCCTGTTGTTCAGAGCCTGTGCAAGAAGCACAATTTGCCTTACAGGAGTCTCTCATTCTTCCAGGCCAATGCCACCACCATCAAAACGCTTAGAGCCGCTGCACTCGAGGCTCGGGATCTCAGCTGCACAGCCCCCAAGAACTTGCTCTGGGAAGCTGTCAACACCCATGGTTAAGCAGATGTGGCATTCTGTCTGGTGTTGAATACTATGTTTTTTGCTTTTAAGACAGTTTCATAATTCATAGTTGATGTCGTTTTGATTCTTATCCATGGTTGGGGGGAGCATGGAGGTGGTGCTGCTGCAGTGCTTTGTATGTTTGATGAGTTTTTGCCCCCTCCCTCTGGATGACTAGATCTGGTTCTGACTCTGCATTTTGAACAGAGCAATAAAGCTCAGCATTTTTATTATGTACTCAAACTTGAAGATAATTCTGCAAACTAGAGCATTTCATGATTCATGAATACAAACTTATTTATATTTTCTTTCTTAATTTGATCAATCTTATATTTTATATGTTTATGAAATCATACTCTACAACATTGCCTTCCCATGTTTGATTAAGTTTAACAAAAATACTACTTTGAACTCCAAAAATCTATTCCCAATTTTTATCTTTTTTAAGTGTTCAAATTGTATTGTATTTTGAAGGAAAAATAAATAAATAAAAAGTAATGAATACAAATGTACACATAGAACTAATCCCATGAGATAGATTAATGTCGCCAACTACACGTTCACCAACCCCAAGGACCCACGTTCCTCTTGATAGAAGAAGTGAGAGAGGTTGTCCCCATACTGTCGGACCCCACGCGTCAACTTGATTGACGGAGCAAGTGAGACCCCACACTATCTACGCATTTTTTATTGCACACAAGGAGCGCTCACATCTAGACAGAGCATCTAAAATTCTGAAAGAAAATCGCCTCTCATTTTAAGAGATTGCTCCTAGTCGCGGGTGAGATTCCATCCCTGATCTTCACCTTTGTGACTGAGGTGCCGGTGCGCACAATAATAACTCTACCAATTACGCTCCAATGACTCACGTTCACCCACGTTTGGAACACGCCCCAAGGGTGCGGCCGCCTGCGGCGTGGAATTAGTATACGTAGAAAATAAATTTAATAAAAATTCCAATTGCAAATTTGCAATTATCGGGAAGGTGAGTTGGCAGTTTATTTCCACCCTCTGCATCTCCGCCTATGAATCTATGATCTGATAAGATTGTCGATTTTTATTTTTTTAACCAAACAAACCCCAAAATCCTCTCTCCGTTCTCGAATATTCGCGCTCGAATTCTTCACACAGCGCTGAAAGTTCAAAAATGTTATCCGCCGATTTCTTGCACCTCTGATTCCTCGACTTTAACCTCATAAGATGGCCGTTCTGTTACCGTCGTCGAGAATCTCTTCATTTTCCGTCTGCCGACGTCCGGTGGGGGTCTTTTCCGATACAAAGAGCAGGGCTGTGCAGCAGATCGCTATTCCTGCAAGCAATAGAAAGGAAACTGTGAGGATTAGGGTTTTATCGAGTGTTAAGGATTTGGAGGAGGCTGCGATTTTGGAGGATAATGTGGGGGTGTTGTACGACCAATTCTCGGCTCCTAAGGCAAAGCCCAGTGCGACATCGTCTTCGGCGAAAATTAGTAAAGAGGAAGAGGAGAAGCGGGATTACTATCTCAACACGGGCTACGCCATCCGGACTCTAAGAGAGGAGTTCCCTACTCTGTTTTACCAAGAGCTTAGCTTTGATATCTACAGGTTTTTATATGCAATCTTTTTAAACACTTTTGTTTTGTTGTGATAAGCGTGATGTTATAGCTTTTCAAACGTGTTTTCCATTACATACAGTCTGTAAGAAAGTTGCAGAGTTCTACATGAGTGATCATTGATCAAACAGGCCAAATAACAATTACAACTTCACAATTCCTTGGCCCTTAGCATTGGGTCATCCTTTAAAACTTGTTGGAGTCTCCAAAACTCCTGGTCCTTTAGGAAAATTCTTCCCCCAATTTTGAAAGTTTGAGTCTTTCTTGTAATAAAATTGAAAATTTTGAATCTTTTTCAAGTATTGATTTATGCTTGTATGTTTTCCATCTCAAACTAATAGAAATTAAATAATTTATTCCTTGCATAAACTATTGAGTCATCTATTTACATGCCTTGGGTGTTACATTTGACACGACTGATAGTGAAGTCCTGAGAACCTTAGATTAGTCATCCTTTTTTTTTTTTTTTTTTTTTTTTGAAAATTGTAATTGAATTCAGTACTAGATAGTAAAACTAAGATAGGAATTGTGTATCTTAGTTCAGTTGGCACATCTATAATAAATAAAGGTATGATCTTAAAAATATACAATCCACTTCTTGGAATTCTTATACTGAGAATTAGAAAACAGGATTCAGATGGTTAATACTAAAGCTAGATATATATTACCTTGGTTTCTAAATGTTAGGTTAATTTTTTACTTTGTTGCATATCTACCAGGTGGTAAAGCACAATGCGTTATTGCCTTTTGATTTGTAGTGTTTCTACTGACTCATAGCACCTTGAGAAACTTGCACAGATAATATCAAGAACTGAAAGATTGCTCTTTTCTAGCTAGTCATATAACATTATACTTTGTTGTGGTTACTTTGTCGCTTCAGTAATATAATGTTTGCAATTCTTGATGTTCCCTTTCACTCTTGATCTGTAGGGATGATATTGTCTTCAAAGATCCACTCAACACTTTTGTCGGCATTGAGAATTATAAATCAATCTTTTGGGCATTACGGTTCTATGGCAGGATGCTTTTTAGGGCTTTGTGGATTGACATTGTTAGTGTGTGGCAGCCTGTGGAGAATTTGATAATGGTCCGTTGGACTGTCCATGGCATCCCTCGTGTGCCTTGGGAGAGCCGTGGGCGATTTGATGGCACTTCAGAATACAAACTGGATAAGAATGGGAAGATATATGAGCACAGGGTCCATAATATTGCTCTAAATGGACCTCTAAAGTTCCGCGTGCAATCTGTGCAGGAAATGATTCAATACATTGGCTGTCCATCGACACCAAAGCCAACTTTCTTTGAGATCTCATCCTCATCATTCAAGAACATTATGGGACTAGTGAATTCAAGCGGGTTCAGACATCACCTGTCTTCAGTTTTAACCTGTGTTTGGAAGAAGAACGAGGAATCATCTGAGGAAGAATAGCATCCATCCCACATGGAGTGTGCGACAAGACAAAGCTTAAAAGTTTTGTGAATCTGTGACGTGAAATGGAGGGTTTTCATGCTCATGCTTATGCTCATAATGTGGAGGGAGTGTATATTTGATAGTAAATGCAACTAAGCCTGTCTACCAGCTCAGAGTTTAACTGGGTGGGGATTGTAAAATTTTGTATAGTGGTTACAGGATTTCATGTTTTAGCAGCTGCTACATCAAACTTGGGTTCCTATAATAAACTGTTCTTTGTATTACACTTTGGCCCTGTTCAGAAACATAATTAGCTTTCAGTTAATTTTGGCTTTTTTGACTACTATTAGTTGTTTCACTTGATTAAACAGTCAATCTGAGTGTTTGATAAATTAGCTTTTTGTAACACTGTATTGTTCCAAAACGCTAAAATTCAAAAAATTGTTCAAAAGCGACTTTTTCGATTAATCTTTTGAGAAAATCATTTTATATGTAATCAGTTAACAGCTAATCTATCAAACATCTTTCTACAATCAGTTAATGTTATCAATTAATTAAACTCACTAGCAACTATCAGCTAAGAGTTATTTACAAACACTCCCTTTACTTGAGACATGATTATCCCAAAATACTCAACACTTTACTACAGTTGAAGTGTTTCAATTTTACTGAGATTATTATTATAGCAAGTGTAAAATATATTGAGATAGAAGTAAATATATTATTTGTTAGTAAGATTTCCAAAGAAAGAAGTAGCAGCGGAGAAAGGGACAATCCGTGTGTGGTGTTTGGTCTGAAGTCTGAAGTCTGAAGCTGAGCAAAAGTGAGCATGGACCTCAACACTTAAAATTAATATCCATCCATCTATCTATCCGCCTACAGTTCAACTACTTTGGCTTGTCGTCTCCCTCCCAGAAATTAAATACGACGTCACTTTCGCTTCCAATGCACTTCCCGGCATTGCTTCCATTGCACATTCATCAAGACCCCTCCACCACCGCTACTGCTACTGCAACTGCAAACTCTAAACCATCTCCCTTATTCCCTAATCAAACCTTCCCGCATAAATTTTCTCACTCTCTACTTTCCTCAAACATCCATTTCTCGCTGCCAATCGATCCCTCAATCTCGAGTTGAGTGAGATGGAGGTGGAGCAGCCAAAGCCGCCGCCCAATTCGGCGATGACGTTCGATGAAGTGTCCATGGAGCGAAGCAAGAGTTTCGTCAAAGCCTTACAGGTCAACTTTCTTTCTTTTCTTTGAGATCAGATCTGGTTATGCTTGCATATTTTGAGAATTTCCCATTAAAGTTGAAGTAATCATGATTACTCCTGTTGCTTAATCTATAATGATGATTTGCCCTTTTCTCTATCTTTATTGTTGATTTTATTTAATACTAGAACTAGATGTTGGATCCATACTGTAAGTAACTATAAGCTCGGGCTCTGTAGCTTGCCATGGACTAGAAACCGCAGTCTCAACTGTTCATTCTTCTCTTGAAGCCACTTTGTTAAGCTAGAAATGGTTGATTACCCCTTTTTTCTATTGCCTGCTTCAGGAACTTAAGAACTTGAGGCCCCAGCTTTATTCTGCTGCTGAATATTGTGAAAAGTCTTACCTTCATAGCGAGCAGAAACAGATGTAAGCTCAACAACCTCAATTACTCTCACTATCTCAATATGCTCTTGCTTCGTTTCTCTATCTTGTCTTGCTTATAGTCGCATGAAGTGGGACTTTCTTTTCTAATGTTTGGGTTTTAGGGTCCTAGAGAACCTAAAAGATTATGCTGTAAGAGCCCTTGTAAATGCTGTTGACCACCTAGGCACTGTTGCATACAAATTGACGGACCTTGTTGGCCAGCAAAACTTAGATGTGTCCACCATGGAGTTGAAGATCACATGTATAAATCAGGTAATTTTGAACACTTCTCTTAGTCCAGATTTTTCTTGGAAGAATCAGTGCACTGAGCTGCTTACTGTTTGTTGTCAGCAACTTCTAACTTGTCAAGCATACACGGAGAAAGAAGGCTTCAGGCAGCAGCAGCTACTAGCCATCATCCCCAGACATCACAAACATTATACATTACCAAGTAGGAGAACTATTTGTCCTTATTTTATATTTTTAAGTACTTGAATACAAGGAAAGTTGCTGAGTTGCATATCCTATTTGGCTTTTGTTTTCTACTTCTTTGATTGATTCCTGAGCTAGATTCTGTCAACAAGAAGGTTCACTTTAGCCCCCATATTCAAATGGATCATAGGCAACATATACAATCCAGAGGCCGTCTTTTTCCTTCAGGTAGCTGGTTTTTCTCCTCCGTGGATGGTTTATTATGGTGTGGTTTCTCCTGTTCTATTAACAGATCAACTTATGCACCATGACTGTAGGCCCCGCTGCTGCAAAAACTCTTTCATGGCACCTAGCATCAGAAACCACATCGACTTTGAAAGGGGCTTCGTGTGGTTTTGTGAGGTTAGTTTTGGTATTAATTTTTAATCGTGACAATTGGAGTAACTTCCTGACTTTGTATCCAATAGAGTTTCTGGAATCTCTTAAGAGGTTATGATGGAAGTTGATGTTTGCTTACATTTACAGTGCTGATGACATAAAAAGTTCTGGAAGAACATCTGGTGCATTCAATTTGTTGGGTATGTGAAGATCCTATGTTCCTTCCTTCCTTACTGTGTATTCATTCAGTTGTAGAATTAGCATTTGAATTATCTATATATGTATGAGCAGATGGTGGTGAAGTGGGCAATAGGACAAAAGCCTCGCCAGCTTGGTCTAAACCGCCAAGTGTAGGTCCTGGATCAAGCATAGCAACACACACATTGGGTGTCATGCGGGTAATGATAAATAAATCCACAGTAGATTTTCCTGACTATATTATGCATTTACAAGTTGCAAGATGCACATGTTTTTGTGCTTTCATTCAAAATGATAGAGTCTTCTGGGAATTGTTCTATGCATATGCAAATGATATCTTCACAATGGTAGTAGTTTATATTTTGTTTGGTCATACAATCAAAGGGAAAATAAAATTTCCTTGTTTCAGGATGCCCTGGATGGCTCCAAACCTATGACTCCATATAGATCGTTTGATAATCCTCCTCACCCACGGCGGGAGACCACACACGTGCCTACCCGCAGCAAGAGCATGCTATCAGCTTTCTTTGTGAAACAGAAGACACCAAAAGTGAACAAAGACAGACAGACTTAAACGCCACAGCCTCCTTAATCAAGATCCATGAATCTAGCTTCTTTCTTGATCATACACTTATTGGTCAATGTGACCATGTCACTCAGTTTATTCTTTTTTGGGGGAAAATAATGTGCAGGAATTATTGTATATTGTGAGTGAGGCAGCAAATGATGCTTTTCTATGTGTAATGTGTTGTATAACTTCATTCTACTCTACTGTGAAGTACAATGAGTGGATTAATCATTTCCATTAAAGCATGCAGTATGAATAAGCTGTAAGCTGAAACTGGGTGTTAATCCAGGGTTGTACTCTTTACCCTGTCTTGTAAAACTCACTGCTCACCTATGTATAACATACGCATACATTTTCTCACTGTTCATTACGTTAATATTTGTGGTTTAATATTTTTGAGTTGGTAGTAGTTGGTAAGTACATTAGTATGAGTTGTAATGTGGAAGTGGAGCAGTTGAGAAGGAGATGTTGAGGTGTTATATAACTGAAAAAACAACATTTCAAAAAGTAGAAACAAATTCTTATGATGGAACTGAGAAGGTGTAAAAGAATCAAAAGATAGCAATATCGTATCTGACGCATTATATTATATATTATTCTTATTATTACGTATTTCAATTCCTTCCCTTTACACAAATTAGGCATAGTGAAATTCCGACAATTCATCGGATAGCATTATCCTGTCATTATCGTTCGTTTTGTGCCCTCTATAAAATCACCAACCTAAACAAGTCATTACTTTCTTTGCCTTGTCAATTGTCATTACTTGCCACCGCACCTATAATAATATCTTCTATTCTGTGTCGTACTTTTATTGTTTCTGCTTCTTTTAAGTTTGAACCAATAAATAAAAAGTATATTTCCTTTTATTATTATTTATTTATTTTTTTTATATTTAGATGATCGCAACGAAACTGGACTAATCTTAAATTCACAAGACCTTCCCTAACCGATTAGACTTTATATTTTTTATATATGCACACAAGAGATCCAATCTACATATTTACTATAAAGTATTTTTTTAACACGGAATAAAAACACTCCATTCATAATAATCAATAAATAAAAATATCTTATTACTGATGGATCCATAATAGGCCCACACAATTGGGTGGGGATCAGGCAGACATTTAGATAGGAGCAAATTATACCATGAACCAAGATCTACCTTGATCCAAAAAGATTCGAAAGATTTGTAAGAAAATTTGTTCCTAGACTCTACAATTCCCTTTTTTATTTTAAGAAAGGGATTCTTGTATTTTAAGAAGGTAATTTAGATCTTATTTAGAGAAAATTAATGAAATATTCTTAATCCAAATTTGTAAATAATTTTCTTTCCTTTTTAAGACCGACCGACTATATATAAATACCCTTCGAGGAGAACACGATAAAAAATTAATTATTACTTTATGACAATAAAATACTTATATTCTTTATGTATAATTGTGTTGGCAAAACAGCAAATTAACAATTAATCAGTTACGGAGTACTATTTAACTTTATTTATTAAATAAAAAATAGAATGTGAGGTAGCGTGAGTGATAGATAGCATGGAATTCCCGTAGAGGATGCATGGATAATGACGTCATTTACATATATATTGATAAACACGACACGCTTGATTGATATGATATGATGTTAATTTATAGAATATAATATATTGGTGTAGGAATATTTATATTTGCTAATAAAAGAGTAAAATACACTCCAATCAATGTGTGTAATTTTGGTAAGATGTGCGCTGACTAATTAAGATTTGATCCACTTACATTACATTACGTTTTGATTCAAAATGAAATTTATCTCTTCTTTTTAGAATAACAGTTTTTTAATATGAGAAGAAAATAGGAATGTACATTTATATGTAAACTACTATACAACATCTAAAAATATTAGATTATTGATTTTGTTAAGAGAAATTTTCAATTTTGGTCATAAGATTATTGTGGTCTTGTTAATTGTCGTCTACGAGTTTTAAAATTGTCAGTTTAGTACTTTAACTACTCAGTTTCAGTCACTTCGGTCAAATTACCGACTAAAATTTACCAAAAAATTTTAATACTTAAAATAATGAGGA